TGTACTTCCATTTAGAATTTTGAACATCATAACGGCTTTGGCAAAAATCCTCTAAAGAAATGAGGCTTAATTTTTCTGCGTCAGAGGAGGGAGGATGCGTGCATAACATTCCTCAAGCGAAGTCACTCTTCTTCTGACCTACTACGAAAGTTAGTGCCGCGTTGTACATTTACAAGACCATATGCCCTTAGCACAGGACAAACTGTGTCTGTACCTGCCTCTCCGAGAACTAATAGATTCGGAAATTTTTGCACCATCAAATACCACAACCACGTTTAAAATACCGAATTACGATTCGTTTTAATACTCATAGCATTTAATATTTACATAGCATTCAATATTTACATTTAATTGATATCTATAATAGTTATATGTAGGTATAACGTAGAAGCATTTGTAATTAATGACCCGCCTTGTAATTCAGCGTTTGCTGCAGAAAGGTTTAATAAACGATCATTATTATTATCATTATTATTATTATTATTATTATTATTATTATCATTAAACATTTTTCACGCGCGTTGAAAAATATTTGAAGGATACTAAACTCAAGAGCCTCCGCTTGGCGCGAAAATGTGCTCGTATATTCCTCGAGGCTCAGTTTCCTCGAACTTTGCTCTTCAAAAACTGTACTCGTATCGAAACAATGTTTGCGAACAAATATCCGTGCAAATTTTAGCGCTAAATGGAGGCTATTGTAAAGGCAGCTCCCTTACTTTACCGCTTGCACTGCTTGAATTTGCAGTGTTTTAGTTTTTAAATAAAACAAGTTAATGTCACAAGGAGTAACTTCAATACCGCAAAGAAGCTACTGCAGGATGCTGAGCTGTTTACCAACGATCACTACAATCCTTATCTTCGACGGTTTAAACGAATTTAGATTCGATGAATTCTTTGAGCTGTTCGTAAGAAACATTCCATTTGAGTCGTTTTTAAACTCGATTGAATGATAGGATCATATTGAAATTCAAGTTTTCTTCTGTGGAAGAGAAATAGCAACTTTTGAACGGGACTTAGCAGAAGTTAGTGTTTGCACGTCCGTCCGCCATTACTGCTGGTGACCTCGATGCGTCACGCGGCAAGTGACTGGCACCTTAGTTGTGAATTAGACTGTTAAGTAGTTACTAAAACAGTGGATGGCGTTGTAGGCGCGCTCTGATTTTCTATTCAAACTCGGAATATCCTTTGCTATTAACCTCCGAGCAGCTCTCGCCTGATTTGCAACCAAAAATATTGTAATTGTCGCAGGTTAAAATAATGTTTTTGTGCTGTATTATCACACTGTTTTAGTATATTCTGAAACAACTATTTGCTTCAGTGTATTTTCTTCAGTATTTGCTTCGCCGTCTCACCACTGGCCACCTCCACTTCTCTGAATAGTTTTTAATTATCTACTCAAGTGCAGTATTGCATATTGCAGTGTTGCACATCGTCCCCATGTGGTATGTT